CCTGCTCACCAGCTGCCTTGATGGCCTGACATATTGGACACTGACTCTGGGACCAAAACATGTGTGGTCCAAGGACACCATCCTGCTGCCGGCTTATGGCACCTGAGAGATGGTGGAAACACAAACCTCTCAATCCAGCAAACACCGTGACCCCACGCAAACGCCCTCTCCAGGCTTGCTGGGTTTTATTCAGCGCTTGTTGGGTGAACGTAGATTAGATCCACCCTAAAAACTTCACTATCTTCCATTATCCAATGAGCAAGATGACAGTTTGGCCTTTTCCAATATGGTTATGCAGCATCTGTAAGATACCGCAGGTACTCACGTGCAGCGTTTTAGCACCAATTTGACCTGATTAGCTGTGTTGCCAACAACTGGACCTTGAATCCTAAGCAGGTGGTTTGTTCTTCACTCTTGCTGTGTCTCCAGCTCTCCTGTGAATCATTGCCTAAAGTTTGGGGGACCACATCTAAGAATAATTCGCGTTCTTTAAAGAGAGCAAAGAGGAAGGGGCACAGCTGCAGCCAGAATTCTGCAGCTGTCTCAGGAGCTAGCCTGGAATAGCGGAAAGGAACTCGAGCTAAAGATTCCACACCCATTAGGCAGTGTGATGAAAAGTGATTAGCATTTAGCACAACCATGGCAGCCTTTAAATTCAAACAAGCCCCTGCTCCCAGCTCCCTGTAAACTTGCTCAGTTTCAGCTCTTCCTGATGCTGATGTCACTAATTGGTGACACAACTCATTTCCGAGTTCTCACACCTCCATTTCCTACAGCCCCTGGATTTGATCCTGGAGGGATGGATCTGTGTGTGCAGCTGAACGGAAACCAATGAAAGTGAGAAAGGAGAGGGGCACAGGATGCAATGAAGATGGAGTTGTAGCTAATCCCCTTGAATCCTGAGGACACTTAGGGCAATCTGGACCACTATAGCCCTGGGAATTTTGTGACTGAGGCAGTGCTTCTTCCAACGGATTGGTTGGGTTGAAAGGAAGTGCTTGTGTGTTGGTTGACACCAGACCAGTGCTGTTTTTATTCTGATGAACAAGGCATGGTTATTCATCACTGAACCAAGGCATCGTGGAGTAAAAAGCTTGGTCTATTCTCATTCTTAACATAGGAACCACTGTTACCACACCCAGGAGGTGGTGAGCCACCACCACTGCTTTAGCCAAGGGGAGGAAGCTCAGCTACCTTCAGGGGCAAGGAAGGTTAAGATCAATGAGTGAAATGGAACTGAGTCTAGAACAGGGAGAAGTGGGGTCTGAGGAAAACTGAAAAACACGTGTTTCATTGAATGGGAGCAGCAGTATCTCCGGTCAATTGTTGAAATGCAGAATGGAGGTACCCTGTGTGTGTGTGTGAGTGTGTGTGTGTGTGTGTGTGTGTGTGTGTATGAGAGAGAGAGAGAGAGAGAGAAAGAAGGGGGGGTGGAGAGAGAATGCACAATCATCTCAGTTAAAAATTTTTTAGAAACACCATACTTAAAGAAAACACTGAATGAGCAGAAAACAGCCATCCATATATAAGTGATGGTCCACGGGCCACTGGTTTACAGCCCTGGCGTAAGCAGATAACAGGGATCACACCTCATAAAGCAACCCGTTGCATATATCAGCTTCTTTCATCTCTTTACAAATTTCTTGCACTCATTCATCTTTTTAACTCATTGAAAAATTTGTATTAAGCACTTCCTATGCTCTAGGCATAGCCTTCTCAGCCAAGGGTTACAAGGAATCCCTGGGGAAAAACCAGGGAATAAGACAAGCTTTCTCACAGACAGTTCATTGTACCTATTGGAGGATAATTCCCTCGTCCTGAAAGTCTTCTCTTTCTAGATCCAACAGCCCATTTTCTCCAACCCTTCCTAAAGTATTAGGGTTTTCTTTGCATTTCCAGTTGGTTAGTATCCTTCGGAAAATGTGGCAAATCAGTGTAAAGTACTAGTTATGGAGCCCCCTTCTGAATGTGTTACAATTCACGAATGTTCTTGAATACTTTGCTGAGCATACGTGAGTGTATCGCCGTTCAGTATACCTCCCGCCATCTAGGGCTTATCTGGATTGCGCAGCAGGCACACATCTTCATTTGTAGGAATCCTGAGACATAGAGTGCTCCACGGACATCTCCGCGTGCAGCAACTACAGTCTGTTTTCATATTCTTCATAACTTAATGGAGCACAGGATACGCTTAGCCTGGCTTGTTTGCTTTCTCGTGCTTGCATTTCCAAAGGTCACAGATTTCATGCCGAAGTGCCACATGATACAAGTATTTCCAGGAACACGTGAGGAAAATAACATTAATTGCCTGAGACTCTAATTGGCTTTAGGACAGTAGCCAGGCCAGTGGCTGGGAAAAGACACCCCAGAACAGCTGTCAAATACAAACCTGGCAGAAAGGCATCAAATGCCAAGAGCCCTTCCTGCATGACACTGACATTCCACAGGCCCACACAGACCCAGCGATGAGAAAAAGTCTCCCTTCCATGTGGTGATTTTCAAACTCACTTAATTTCATCAAACGGTTTCCATGGAACACGCCAAACATGCCCCATTTCGGCTCTGGCTGGCAGTTAGCTACACTTAGAGAAGCAAAACCCCAAACCTACTAGTCATTAGCTGAGTGTTTACGAATGTACACAATGATTAGGCCACAATTACATTATTTCTCCAGACTTTGCTAGGCATTGATTTTTGTAATTAGAGATGATCTGGAGAGAACCAAATGTAAATCAACAACCTCGATCTGCCAAGAATAACATGCTTTAGCAATCATACAGACATCCTCAAATGGCTGTCCTATTTCTCTCCTATCTGAATATTCATTAGAGATTGGGCAGGAGCTCTGTCTCTTATGGTAGTCTTTCACCTCTTGATTAGATATGAGATGAAAAAGCACAGGCCTGTAAGAACTGTGAATGTTGGGGGTTAGTCATCCCCCATCAGGGTTTGTCTTCCTGGAGGAAAACCAGGTTGAGAATTGGGAGATCAGGATCTGAATCTTGAATCCTACTGCTTAACCGTGACCAAGTACCTGAACCATGAAAACGATTTTCAGGGAGATTCAAGGGCACATATAGAAGTGACCTGAAAAATATGAAGCACTACACAAAAGTATTAAGCTGCTATCATTATTGCAGCTCTGGTTCCCAGAAACCCCTATTCTAAAATCTTAACGAATAGTTTCAACAGTCTCCCACCATGTTCTTTCTTCTTTTAAAACTGGAACTACAAGATCAGTTACCCAAATTCAATTTCACTCTCTTTCACAGGGTGCAAACTACAGATCCATGGGCTAGATTGAGCCCACAGATATTTTGACTTGCAATGTTGTGTTTGTTTTGTTTTTTAAATTGCCGTGCTTGTCAGCATTTTATATGTGGGATTTTTCAGATTGATATTTTCACTGGGTATTTTCATATGTAAGTTCAAATTTCCTAGTTCTGAGGAAAAATGGGAAGATTTGGCAATATTGGCTTGGATTCCCTATAGCTGCAATTGCTAGAGCCAAGGGGTGGCTGCCCAGGGGGTGTGTACTCTCCATGGCCCCATGGTCCCCACTTGACTTGCCTGCCTCACTTATGTCTTCTGTCTAAATCCCATAGACATTTGGATGTCAACTCCTGCTTTTCCCTTTATTTTCAGAGACAAATAGCTCTTTAAAATATTAAAAGGGAGAAAAGCAAGAATACAGCGATGCAATGAGACTGAATAACCAACTTATTGGATATTAATAAATATTAATAAACAAGAGCAGACATATCAAACGGCTGCTATGAGAAGCAGTAGAGCAAAGTGGTTAAAAGTCTAAATAAATTACTGAAGCAATGTCGAATCGTGGCTCCTGCCCTTACTAGCTTAGGAGGGTTATTTAAGCTCAGTTTCCTCCTCTGGAATATGAGAATAATAATTATCATTTTTAGAATTCATTTAAATAACAAGGATTTACTAAGCACCCACTATGTTCTAGAGACTTGTGTAGGCACTGATGACGCAACAGTAATCCAAACAACATCTGTATTCATGTGGTTTACATTAAATGAGTGAATCCATGTTAAGCATGTAGAACGCTGTCTGGCACAATAATAAATTCTCAGTACGTGTTAGCTATTATTATCGTTATTATTCACAATATGCTGTCTGCTCAAGGGGATCCTTAAATCAGGAATGATAAACCTGTTTAAGCTTGGATTTTATTTCCTGATAATAGCTACCAGAAATAAATAGTGTTAAGAATGAGTCTGAGGCCTTGTCTAAGCTCAGCAGAAAGGGGTACAGGGATTGACTATGGATGTCTGACTTGGGCTGATGTGTGTGGAAATTTGCCTGGGGGTTTTGCCATCCTGGGTTAAAGAATCCCTAATTTCTATAAATTAAATTTCTATAAATGTAAGTGTCTCTAAATTTCTGCCTCTCTCGTCTGTGTTGACAGTCTTTCTGAGACTTCTTGTTCAGGGAGAGACAAAAATTCAAGAAAACTTTTCCAAGTTTTCTCTTTTCAGCAGGCAGCTCGCAAGGGCAAGGCCATGCTCTTCTGCTCTTGCAGATGTGCTGAGAACATGCAAAGCTCGAAGGGCTACCAGCCTGCGATTAGGGAGGATTTGAAGATGTCTGTTCCAATAATCAGCTCTAAAGCTGAACCTCTCAGAGCTACAGATCCAATTCAAGGGAACTGAGATACCGGCTCGGGGAGGGTACATTTCTCTTCAATAAAATATTTAAAAGTAAAGAAAGAAGGAAAAGAACATTCCCCTTATCAAACCACAAAACCCAAGAGTTAGCCCTTGGCAGGCCTAGAGGCTGAACCCCTTTGACACAGTGCCTCTGCCCTCACTGACGGCTCAGGTACATCTATTCTCATGCAATTCCGGACTAGGCAACAGTGAAAAGTCACTGCAGGTTTCCTCCTTCCCAAACAAACCCATATGTACACTTTGCAAACTCCTGATGGGCAAAAAAGGAAATGAAACCTTTCCCAACAATATTAAATGTGAACCTACCGAACTTCCCTGAAGCTTGCACCTGCCGCCCGAGCCCAGGGCTCCTCTCTGTTGTCAGTCAGAATCACACATGGCAGCCAAGTTCACAGGAACAAAGACTTGATAGTCACAGGCTGCTGATGGGAGAGGTCACCGTGTAATGAAAGAGAGGGATGTCTGGGCCTCCAGGTTAAAGGTGAACAGACAAGGTGGTATCCTGTTATTACCAGACATGGGCAGTAATGTTGGAGGGCGACTCTGCACGGCAGCTCAGATGTGGTCTCCTGGATCACCTCCCCTGACACCAGGGATGCGGGGTGTTTGAAAATGATTCTTGCCAGGCTGCTCACCCATACAACCATTATAATTCCAGAGCATCCCTATTGTTCCTGTTGGGGTAGAACAAAACAAGTGTTATGCCCAGGTGGGGATATTGGCCGTATTCCTATACAACCTTATTTATAAAAACAGGTGGTAGGCTGTATTTGGCCTATGGGCCATAGTTTGTATCCCCTGATCTATTGCAATAAAGCACTGATGAACCTGCATTGAGTATAAAATAAGTATGTTCATTTCCTTGCTGCATCTCAACAAGGACTAAAAACAATAGTAACGTGTGGGGATTAGAAATCAGAACAGCAGGGAGGGAGCTAGGTCCCAGAAGAGGGCCCAGGGCACTCCTAGGATTGGTGATGTTCCGTTTCTTAGTCCGGGTGCTGCTTACACAGTAAATTACTTTGTGAAATTTCATCAGGCCACCCGCTTAAATCTGAGTACTCTTCTGCATGCATGTTATATTTGTTTATTTTTTAAATAATATTTTAAATATATATAATATTTATATATAAATTTTATTTATATAAATAAAATAAATAAGGGCTAAAGAGAGAAAGCCAAGCATCCCTGCCTGCTAGCTTTGAGCTCCTGTAATGACAGCTGATGAAAATAATAATTCTCCACCAATTCCGAGTATAGACCTAGAGGATCAGCCATACCACGTGCTGGCAAACAGAAGCTAAAATGTGGCTGTTTAGTCTGTCCATTCCACAGATAAAGTATGCTGATTATGAAATGACCTTTGAAAACAAAGAGACCTGGTTTCTTTGACCTCTATGAGCCTCTGATTTTTCATCCCTAAAATAATTGCGTCTATCCCACAGCTCTGTTGTGAAGGTTGAACTAGATAATGGATATGAAATGCCTCGTATTCGTTAAAGCCCATGGTTAGTACCCAAAGAATGTCAGCTAACTGAAAAAAGAGCATAGTGTAAAGGAGGTGTGTTGGGTCTCCTTCATTTCCCCCCTCATCCCTTCTCCATCCATCTCTGCCCCCGTCCTGAGGTCACCCAGCCTGGGCCATGTCACTGGGCCCGCTTGCCTTTTCTGGCTTCCAGTATGAGAGTGGAGGCATGAGAGAGAGTCAGGTCAGGGCATTTGTTTCTCCCAGTTCCTCCAAGCAGCATTCTTCAACAAAATGGGTATAAAGCATCCCTTTCTGCACAGCTGCTTCGTCTTCAAGTCCCCAGAAATGCTCCTCCCCTTGCTTCCTCAGGCCACTGGGAGGTAACTGCTCCCTGCTGATGTTAATTCTGGGGTACTGGAGTATTCCTGTGGTTTCCCCCACAATATTTCCACATCTTTGTCCTCTGTTTCCAGGGCTCTGACTAATGCATCAACCACACATTAGGAAAGCGAATTCAAATACGAGCAAGGCAGGAACATTTCTGAAAATAGTAAATTGTGCTTCCTTTTGGCACACCTATGGGACTTGGACAAACAAGGGCTATTTTTCTTTAGGCCCACCCAGCACACAAAGGTTATAAGGCTTTGGTTGTCAAATCTGGGCTTTCTTGCTTCGGTAGTTCATTAAGTCTGAGTTTGTTTTTCAGGAATGAAAAGAGCAGTTACCAGCTAACCTAGACACACCATTTATTTGGGCGAGGATGCTCAGGGAGGTAGGCTAGGGCTGGGAGCAAGCTGAGGCTTGCAGGCAGTAGTGACAGGGGGTTCTGAGGGGGCCTGGGAGCTCACTGCACTCCCAAGAACAATACATCTGGGGAGTAGCTGTGGATGTCAAAGGCCTGAAACATCAACCCTGGGGCTTTTGGAACCTTGGCAAAGAGCTCCCACTCCAGGCCTGCTGGGGAAGTATCTGAGCTGCCTTCTTTAAATGCACACGTGGGCCTGGACAATGAGTCCTATAGCAGCGACCGTGATGTGCTGACAACTAGAGGCCTTTCTAGTGAGAACAGTTGGGTCCATGTAAGCCCCCTCAGGATTTCCCTATAATCTCAAGGGAGAATAAAGTGCCTTCTACACCATAACTCGATATGCACAGGCTGTACTTCAGTGTTTCTGATTTTTTTTTTTTTTTTTTTTTTTTTGCGGTACACAGGCCTCTCACTGCTGTGGCCTCTCCCATTGCAGAGCTCAGGCTTCGGACGCGCAGGCTCAGCGGCCATGGCTCACGGGCCCAGCCGCTCCGCGGCATGTGGGATCTTCCCGGACCGGGGCACGAACCCGTGTCCCCTGCATCGGCAGGTGGACTCTCAACCACTGCGCCACCAGGGAAGCCCCAGTGTTTCTGATTTTGTATGGCTTGAATTGGGCCCCTACACTGCATCTTTAGCGTGTACTCAGGGATGCCTATGTGAGTAGTCCAGTGAGCACAAGGCACTACTATACTTATCCCCATTTTACAAAGGAAAGAAATGGAGCCTCTGAGAGCCTAGCCTTCACCAGCTCAAGATGTTTGGGGTCTAGGCCAACAGGTTCAGCAAGGAAACCTAAACAAATTGCCCTTTCTGTATACATGAAACACATTTATACTCACTTTTTATTCACTTGAGAAGCTCAGTTCTTATTATATTCTGGGGAATCCTGCCCAAATCCAAATGTTTGCAAAATTCCAAGAACTAAGCTACCTTCTACTTCTTCCTTCACAGTCAAGTAAACTGGAGCTCTGTAGCTAGAACAAACTTTTCCCCAAGTGCTTATTAGGTAAGACTGGTCTGGGGCACTTAATCTGTGAAGATGCTGAGCAAAACCAAGAAATGTTTCCCATCTTGTTATTAAGCACCAAGCTTAGAAAAATCAAGTAAAACAATCAACGTGGCCACTCACAAAGTCAGCAAAAATGTTTATCTAATTAATCTTCATCATGGCAGTACAGTCACAACATTAGTGTCAAATGTATCCAAAGAATAAATGTAAATTACAGGTACAAATCAATTTATGTGTTCACCACCAATTCCACTTGCCTCCGCATACACACTTAACAGGTGCTTGAGGCTTCTGAATAAATAGTTACTGGTCTTCAGAAAGGTGCAAGTTTGCAAATTGAGATCCAAGATAAAACAACAACAACAAAATAGCATTATCGCAGCACCACAGACATCAGGAAATGCCCAAAGAAGTACCAGAGCGAACGTTTCACTACTCCCTGGGGAAGAGGGGAAGCATCAGCCTGGATGCTCATTTACTCTTTCTACCACTTTCTGTTGCGGAAGGTAGGATTTTGGAGGGACTCCCAGGTAAGGAATGAAGCCAGACTCACTTCCATTCCAAACTGCAGTGGAAACGGATTCTCTTTCTTCTGTGAAATGCGAAGGGTCCTAGGAATTTCCTTTCTGATGCCCTGGAGAAAAGAGAAACGTTTTAAAATAACCTGGAAATGCAAAGATCTTAGAGTCAGGTAAAATGTCTTGGACAATTGTAACTAAGAGAGTACCCTCTGTGTGAAACTGTGTAATTCAAGTATATTTCCCCCCAAGTTCACTTTTCAATTATCTTTGTCTTTTTGGCTGCTTGAAGACAGACGGAAGTAACTGGCTTTCTCTACTTTAAGAAGTGCTTACTTAATCTTGACAGCAGTTTCCTTTGAACTGTTAATACAAGTCACAGGCATTGATTGGGTTCAGCCTTCCCACCCTCCCTTTTCCATCATTCCCTTTGTCCCCCATCTAAACGTATTTTTTCAGTTTTCTCATGATGCTTATCTTTAAGTATCATTATGGTCCTAGCAGTCTCATTAAGTAAAATGCCTGAGTGGGGGTGGGGGGGAATTCTGATCAACTGAGTGCCAATGAAGAAAAATTTTTAATTTCTCAGATAAAAAAAGATTGTTGAAAATCTTTCTCTTAAACGTTTTTCTTCCTTCCCTCCTTCATTTCACTCTCATTTCTACAGATGAAAAAGAACATAATTACCAGCACACAAATAACCAAATTTATATATAGATAAATTAATATAAGCAAGCGTGACTTAAGCAAAGGGGGTGACACTGTATCAGGTTTCAGATTCATGCAATGATGACTATGATGTGGCATTAAGTTTAGCTCTGAGCTACCTGGCAGGCAAAGCAAAATAAGAAATAGATCCGATTTGCTAATTAAACGAAGCAAAGTAGTTTGTAAGGAAAGATGAACTCTTGGGGGAACATGGGCCACTAAAATCTAATAATAATGACCTAAAGGAAAGGTTTATGTGACTATTCCATTTGTGAAGTTGGACCCATCTGGTTTCACATCATTGAACCACTGTGATTTTGACAGAATGAAATCTTTTCCCCTATCTTCCCACCCACCCCCTCCACACAGTTTTTTACTTGATTTTGTTAACTCTTTTGACTAGAAATTGAACCTAATATGAGATTGTCTTGATTTATAAAGGTAGACAATGGCAAATCAGTGAGATTATGGTTCTACCTCCACCCTCTGTTAACTGTCCCCCTTTTTGAAAACAAATATCTTGGCTAGTTTGACATAGCAACCTTGACATAATCCTCTGAAAAAGCCTTCAAAGATCACTTGATTATTCCAATATTAGTCAGAGATCCAAAGATGAGTCAAGAATGAGAGTACCATACTGGTCTGAGGAACTACAGGACTAATGCAGCAAACTCTATTTTCTAGGAAACTTTAAGTGCCGCAGCCTGATTTTTCTGATTTTCAGATTATGTACTGCTGAAGGAGATCATAAATTATGCTACAGTAAGGACCAATCAATTCTTTTCAACTCATATCCAAATCTCAAATATTCAGTTTCATTTTCCCCATAACTAACAAACTGTCATAGAAATTCACTATCTTAACATCTAGACTTTTCTCTTGCATGCACTAAAAGCATAATAATCTTGGTCAGATTATATGCACTGATTTTTAGTTTATAACCTGGTGAATGTGTTCATATCCCACGTAAGTGTTCTTCATTCTTCTGTAATACTAGCCCAGGAACTTTATACCTCAAAAGGTTCCTGTCTTACTTTCTTTGCTTGAATTTCATCCACTGTAATGCCTTTAATTTCTAATTTCTATCTTTAAATCTTTGGGGTTTCTAACTTCTATCTTCTAATCTTTAACCTTTGGGTTTCAAAATCTGTCTTTTGAAAGGCAGACCTTCTCAGGTACTACAAATGGACAGCTTTCATATTTTAATTTGGAATCACTGGAAAACCAATTATATTTAGTGGAAAAGGCACATGACCCATATTTGATTCCTGGGTCTCCCCGTTACTGCCCACTCATGGAATATATTCAAACTTCTTAGACTTTTTTTCTGAACCTGGAAAATGGGTATAACAAAACTAATGCCTCTCCATTAAGATGGATTTGAAGATTAAGTATGCACATATAACAAAATTTGTCAACCATAACTTATTTACTTCTTTTTCATTGTCATTATTAGGCCAAAGTTGTTTTCTGAAGATAAACACAGACAGTCATAATGATAACAGGAAACTTTATGGAATGCTTACTATGTATCAGGCATTCTACTAACACTTACTTATTTGAACCTCACAGCAACCCTAATGCAGTATTATTATTATTCCCATTTTTCAGAAGAGGAAACTGAGGTTCAAAGAGAATAATAAACTTGTCCAAGGTCACACAGTCAGTAAGTAACATAGCTGGGATTTAACCTAAGCATTAAGCCCATAGACTCTTAATCATTTTACTGTATGTCCTCAGCACACAGCTGTGGTAAATACTCTATATTGGGGATATTAATAAATGTTATACACATACAAAAAGGATTCCATCATTAATTAAGTTTAGGAAACACTCGATTAGAGAAAGTGAAATAGGTTTCTTGACTGAATGACTCCTCAGATCCTTTAGCATACACTGTGAATCTCTAAAAATGAACCATGGTGGGCAGCACTTCCTAAGACCAAATTGAATCACTGCTGTTTCTTCATGAGCATCTCAAAGGACCAGGTGCACAGAACACATTCTGACAAATATAAGTAGCAATGACATACCACTTGAGGGTATGAGAGACAATCCTTTGAAGTAGCGGAGACAAGTGTACAGTAACTCCATTTATACATGATCCCCATTTTATATATGGCCTAACACACTAATTGGGTTACCCAAAGTAAAAAAGGTAAGCATTGCAACCCTCTTCCAAACACGCATGTGTAAAGGATGCTTTTGACTTAAAAGAGTTACAAGGTGTATATATATATATTTCCTCCTGAGGATGGCTCTCTAAGGCTGACATTTAGAAAAGAAAGATGCACACGAATGAGCTGAGCTTTCACACATCTTCTTGGCGGGAGATACTACAGACTATGCCAGGGCAGGACTGAGGGAGCTCCAGAAACCAGTTGCCTGCAAGTGATTAATGACAGCAAGGTGATCCGTTCACCCGTCCCAGGCACTTCTCTACCAGGGCATCTGGAATTACCTCCAGGACATATGGACAGAGAGGGAATGAGAATGGTTCCAAATCACTTAGAGTCTATGATACCTTCACAGAGACCCCTGCCTACCGCCCAACCCCCACCGCCCATAAATGAATCTTTGCTTATTGAATTCTTCAGTTTCTGTTACTACTATCAACTTACCATCACTCTCAACTCCCTCCCCACCCCCAACGCACATACGTACTCTACTCCCAATCAGGGAGGAATCACGGTCCAGCTGCTACTAGCTTAACAGAGAAACTAAAATAAAACAGCTTAAAAATGCATGGATCTGGTCAGCTTCATTGAGTTGCAAACCAAAGGAAAAGGTGGTGGTGAACAAATATTTGACCTACTTTTTAGGACCCCATGGGGCCTTATAAGCCACACTGGATGTGGCCCGCCAGGCCATTAGCACCAGCCCTATACCATCACTCAACCCATCCCATAATATATGCCTACCCTGAATATTCACAGTTACGTTAGGACATTACTCTGAGGTGAGATGAGTATTTCCAAAGTCTGGAAGTCCATATGCACTGGATGGTGAGACCATCCTCACCTGCATTTTGGACACATGATGCCACTCCTCTGAGTGACTCAGATAACTAAAGGGCAGATTTTACTGTTATTATTCTCATTTCTTCTTTCAGTCTTCTCAGCCATCCAGGTATCTCTTACCTGAAGTACTTCACTTCACTCTTTGACCCCCTCCTTGCCTAAGCACAGTTTATGGACCCTCCTTCATATTCTAACCTTTTTTTTTTTTTAAAGAACAGTAAAGGTATACCTGGAGATCACTCTCAAAATAAACACTTTCCATTTAGCATTAAAATGGCTCAACAAACTGCTTCTCCCTGCATGGTGTCTGCTTACATGGATGCAGATTGGCACCTCTGGATGGAATCGATGAATCGTTTCCTTGCAGTACATTGTAGGAGATCAATGGTGTCTGTAATGTAACATTTGTGCCCTGATGCTATTGAGTTTACTCAGGCAAAATGCCTTGAGACTCAATAAGCCTTGTAGGAGTGCTATGAACCAATGGTTTCCTGAACCTACTGATGAATCTGTTGGGCACATTACTTCACAGGTTGAAATAAAAACTGACTCCAACGCTGAAATAAAATCTTTAATCTTTCTAGAAGGATTACAGAAGCAGCATGGAGAGAAAGTAAAATAATTGGATTGGAATGGACATTTTTGGTTAACTCTGGTGTCAGTTGGGTCCTCTGGAAAGTAGAGGCTAGGAGTGAATCAGGAGCACAGAAGAGTGACTGGAAAGTAACACTTGTGAAAGGAGAAGGGAGGAAGCAGAATCAGACAGACATGGTCTTGAGACTGTATTTAGGACACATGATGCCACTCCTCTGAATGACTCAGATAATTAAAGAGCAGATTTTTCTGGCAGCCCTACAAGACTCTGCGGAGTGTAGATTGCACTTTAGAGGAGGCTTCCACTGGGCAGACAAGGTGAAGCCCTGGCACTACTGTGCTGCTCGGTCATTGGCTGGGGCTACTCTGCAAAGAGCTTGATCTTGGTTCCAAAGCGAGGGTCGGCTGAACGAGGTAACAGCTGGAGGCTATCGGCTAACCACACATCTTGCAGTTAAGCAAGGAGTCCTTTCTGGAAGGGGGATCTGAATTAGACATGTCTGCTCTGGCTCTCAATGTGCATTCCATCTCTTCCTCATTGTGGAGCAGATAAATGATTGGAGTCTCTGATTACGCACTCTCAACACTGGAACTCTCACTGACGCAAGCTGCTATAAATAGGAGCAAAGACACACAACTGATCAAAGGCACGTTAAATATGGCTACAAAAGGCATTAGTGGTCTCTCTGACTTAATAATAGAATCTTTCAGAACTGAGCCTACTTGTAAGTAGAGGGGCTTTCTACATATAGCCTATGGATCAAACAGGCCAAACTGTGATCTGAAAACATTTC